GAGTCTTGGTTTGTGTCCTGGATGTAGCTAGTCCAAGGGTAGGCAGTAATTTTCACAGGGGGAGCCACTGAACGAATTTTGGTATGTGGTCACAGGCCGGCTCCACCCCCAGAAAGGGGAGGAGCCTTCAGCAGAAGGGGTGGGGCTAGGAACTCTCCTCTCGGCTCTGCCATTACCATGTTGTTTGGCAGCCACCTGGGATTGTTGCAGGCTGGGGGCTCTGGCCTCTGCTGGGGAAGCGCCGTGACTGGGAGCCGTGAGCCATTGGAAAAAGGATCCTGCTGCCTGAGGCGCCAGCTAGAAATTCAGTGCACAGGTAGCAGGATATAACTAGAAAGTGGCCAGATGCAGTCTGCGGGCTGGATCAAAGTGTTAGGTGGGCCGGATCCGGCCCTCGGACCGCATCTTGCCCAGCCCTGAGCTAGTCTGTTGCCTAGGAGAGCTTGCCTTAACATCCCAGTGGAATACGTTCTAATGGGACTCGGTGCTATGAGCAGGACAGGTGCCATTTGCTCCCTGGAAACCCAATCTTCTTAGCAAGCTGTGGGTCAGCGTAAGCACAGAACTGCTCTGTTTATAAGGCCAGAGTGGATGTAGCACAGGCAGGGCTAAGCACTGCACCGGTGCACCTGCAGCGCTTTCATGAAGGCGTTCAAAGCCAACGGGGTGTTTTCCCATTGGCTTAGTTAATCCATCTCCCTGAGAGGCAGTGACTGGGTCAGTGGGAGGCGCTCTCCTGTCAATATCGGGCTGTCTGCACAGGAGGTTAGGGATCAGTATAACTAATGTTGCTCAGGGGCGTGGATTTTTCATACTCCTGAGCAATGTAGACCCTAATTATAGGTCTGGCATGCAACTCAGATAATCTCTAGTCAAAACCTGGGCTTTTGAAGGTGGGTCACAGCCTGCCTCTTGCATTGTGCATTTGAGCCTTCCCTTGCAAATCAGCCACTGTTTCTTAGCAGTTCTTACTCATGCTACATTCTTTGTACACTCTGCCTGTTCGATAGTACATCCCAAATACATACCGATCCCGTTCGGCTTGTTCTAGGAAGAAGACAAGGTTGCATCCTATTTCTGACTTGCTGGTTGTGTATTCCTTTTGTTTGGGGATTTCTGGTGCAGTGCACTGATAAAGCAGGGAGTCCCCAACTGGGGAGTCCTGGGCTCCATGTAGTGCTGCTGCTTTGAAATGCCATCAGGGGACTGTTTGAGTCCCCTGCTGTCCCCATGTTCCCCACAGTGCTTTCACCTTTGAAGACAGAGGCACTCTTATCGACTAATCGAATAGTCAATGCAAATTGCATTAACTATTCGATTAACCAATTAATTGAAATTTTACGTGCCTAATGTTTATCATGTTGTACAACACTTTCAGTTATTTCCAAGCTATGGGATAAAACTTGCTTGTAATCTTTCTATCCAGTACTACTTAGAGCATTTCACTCTCTTCTCCCCCCTCTTTTTTTGTTTTTTTTGTTTTTGCCTGTATGTGTGTCAGACTTTTCCTGGTGGAATGCTGTGCCACTGTACAGTGCAGAATTTGCACAGAATTAATGCTCCTTGCAGAATTTTTGTTTTCCCATGGAAACAGTGATCTGTGGTCAGAGTGCCATGCACAGGCCTGAACTTGGTTAAGGACAAGAAGGACAGCAAGAGCCCCAACTGTGTTCAGAATTTTAAAATATTCACAGAATTTTTAGGTGCAGAATTCCCCCAGGAGTATTGTAGTTTGGGATTGTTCCTTTCTCTGCTACACAAAAAGGCCCTTCTAAATCAATCGCTGTATTGTCAAAAGTGCCTTAGAAGTTGGATCTATAATTCATCTTCCTTCCCTGATAAGCTTATCCTCTCTCAGGAAAGGTCATGTGGTTTTCTTGTTTCTAAGCCAAGTCAACATAATTGCCTAATTGTGGAAGAGGGTTTATTAATTTGTAGAGGTGGATTCTGGGACAATGTAGGTTCAGGCCTGTTTTAAAAAAAATGGGAACAAAATCGTAGAGGTGGATTCTGGGACAATGTAGGTTCAGGCCTCTTTTTAAAAAAAAATGGGAACAAAATCACAGTATTTGTAGCTGAAAAATAAACCGCACGTTTACAGGCAGATGATAACATTTAAAGTAGGCCACGTTTTGGGTTTGAACTCTTGGATGACAGGTTTAACTTTATGTGCACTATTGATCAATTTTAGAGGATTTGTTTATTTTTGCTAGTTGGGGTGCATGTAGTAGTTAGAGGATTTGTTTATTTTTGCTAGTTGGGGTGGATGTAGTAGTTCTAAGTAACTCAAATGCAGTTTGAAGATCTTTTAAGCTGCCATGCAAATGAGCTTTTTTTAAAAAAAATTCACTTTGGTAATTTGTCACATTTCCCTTGTATGTATTAATTAATTAATACTTTATTTATTTATTCCATTTGTATCTCCCTAAATGACACAGATCATAAGAAATGTCTCTTTCCACGTTTGCTTGTATAGCTGTTTGAAAACTAACTATAGTAAGAAGTCCTGAAGTATAACATTCAGTTTGTACTTGGTTGAGGTTTGTGTTCAAAGTATGTTTAACTGACTTGAATGTTGACCCTTTAGACTCTGGTTGCACGTGACCTCCGAACTAGTGCAGTTTGCTCTTCTGATATTAACTTTAACATTTCTGCTCCATTTTTATTCATGCTGACCTTGAATAGATAGGCAGCAAAGAAGGTTTCCAATTTGCACAGCACTTGGAACAGGCTTTATTAATTAGTCCATTATTGTAGTGGGAATAAGTTTAGAACTACCTCTAATATCCTGCCACTCAGTTGTGAAGCCAACATTGTGAGAGCTGCAAAAACACCAACTAAAACCAGAAAGTGAAACAGATTTGTTTACTTTCATTGTCCAAACTGTGTAAAAAATGCAAGAAGTGAGCATCATAAACAATGCAAAGCTAATTTAATTTTCTTTATAAATATACATTTTTACTGGTTAGGTTGCTTCATTCTCTGCCAGTATAAACTTACACGCTTCCATTGAAATTAACTGAGTTGCACCAGCAGAACATGGTCAGTGTTGGCTGTGATTTTTTTTTTTTGTTTTGTTTTCTTCTTTTAAGTTCTTGTTCCCTAAGGCTGTGTCTACACTACAAGGTTTTTGTGCAAAAACTGGTGGAGCATCCACACCTCAAGCGCATTTTTGCACTAGAAAATTTACAGTAAAACGGCAGAACAGCGGGCTTTTTGAAGTAGAGTTATCCCTCTCCCCACGAGGAATAACTCCTTTTTGAGCTACAGCTCTTGTGCAAAAAGGCATGTGTGGAAGCTCAACAGGGGCTTCCTGCAGAAAAAGAGCCTATCACAAAAAGCACCGGGGCTCTGATGGCCATTCTGTGACTGGCGATCATAACTTTCTTGCACAAGAGCGTTCATGCAGTGTGGACGCTCTCTTGTGCAAAAGCACTTTTGAGGTGTGGACGTGCTTTTGCGCAAGAAGTTTTTGTGAAAGACCTCTTCTGCAAAAAGCTTCTTAGGCTTTGTCTGCACTGCAGGGTTTTTGCACAAGGGTGCAAGGGGACCAGCAAAAGACATATACAGATTGAAAATTGTGTATTTCCTCT